CCCCGCGGCGCTGCCTTCTCTGCTTTCCCCGAGCCTCAAACAACCCCGAAGTAGTGGTCAAATATAACAGCTCAAGTATATGCAGTTGTGCTAATGTGTCTGCCCTGTGGTTTCGTGAGACGTGTGTTGAGCTAATTGTGAAATCACTTGTTGTAGAGGGTGTTGTACTGCTGGGTCGCACAGACTGTTTCATGGGGTCGCTTAAGGGCTTTTGTGTTTCATAGCCAGTTGTTATCCCTGAAATGGACTGGGCATCGTCCGAGGACTGCTGTGTACAGCTGTGACTCCTGAGTCTGTGCCACTTAATTCAGGAAATTCTTAAAAATGTGCAAATGTTTGTATTGAAGTCTATAGCTGTTTGTTTTGTTTCAGTTTTGGGCACTTCTTATACAGTGTAACTTCTCAGTTACACCCCTAGCAGTGATGAAATCCTGCCAGGGGTTTAGCATACCTGAAAACTGTCCTGTCCTTTCACAGGATAAAAGGTGTTCTCAGGACTCGTTAGAGTTAAGGCTTTAGATGTGAACACTTCTGCTTTTCCTTCAGCAATATACATCAGCAGTGTGCACGTCCAGTCTCAGCAGAGTGGAAATCAGTGTAGACTGTCGGTGACTTCCAGTTCAGGGTGGTTGCTATCTCATCCAGTTCTTACTTGCAGGGAAGAAACTTCTGGAGGAAGTGAGAATCCCTTTTTCCATGCAATGTTGTGACTTGTTTTCTGCTTTGTTTGCAGGTGAACGACTTAAGAAGCCAATTCCTCTCCAGGAACAGACAGTGCGAGATGCCAAGGGGCGATACCAGCGCTTCCATGGGGCCTTCACCGGTGGCTTCTCTGCTGGTTACTTTAACACTGTTGGCACAAAGGAAGGTCAGACATTTCTCTGTCTTCTGGGCAGGGTTAAATTGAGTACCATGGTCTGATGGTAGTGAAAACAAATTAGCTGCCATTCAGTGTTTTTTTCCTGTTATTCCTCATGCTGTAAATAGTTGAAACATTATTTCCCCTGGAGTTTTTGTTCCCTTGATGCATCCTTAAGATGGAAGGTTGAAATGCTTGAATTGTTTTCAAATACGGTGTTGCCTGAGGGACCTCACTTAAACATTTGCCTCCTTTGAAGGATGGACTCCTTCAGCCTTTGTGTCATCACGGCAGAAGAGAGCAGACAGGACTGTTCTGGGACCGGAGGACTTCATGGATGAAGAGGTAAATTCAGAAAAGAATAGAAACCTCTTGAAAATAGTTGCCATGGCAGCACGTTTTTGAGGCAATAAAATCTTGTAAAAAAACTTAAATGGCAAAAATTGAACCGACTTTAAAATTACTTCTTGTGTAGAGTGTTATGCTGCTCGGTCATGTAGGCTGTTCAGTAGGTTCCTTGAGAAGCTCCTGTAATCTCAGTGTTAAAAACTAGCCAGAACTCAACCCTTTCACTTTTTCAGAAGATGCAAATACTTTTGAAGCTGTTTAAAATATGTCCATTCACTGTGTGACTGGCTTGAGAAAATTAGCCAATATGAAGGTCATACCCCATTTTCATCAGTGTTACAGTAAGAGTTTGAGGGATCTTGAAAGTTTTAATCTAATTTTTTTCATTTTGTCTATGTTTTCCAGGATCTTAGTGAATTTGGTATAGCACCGAAAGATATTACAACCACAGATGACTTTGCATCCAAAGCTAAAGACAGGATAAAGGAGAAGGCTAGGCAGATTGCAGGGGCTGTTGCTGCCATTCCAGGAACCACTGCGTTCGATGATTTAATAGGACCATCGAAGTAAGTGATTCTGAGTGAGAGCTGGCCAAACAGTTCCTGTCACTTAGAAGTGTGGTGCTGGTTAGAAAAGGAAGGTTTGACCACAGTAATCTGTGGAAGAACTGGAAGCTCTGCAGTGTTGCACTTCCCAAGGAGAACATGGACAAACTGGGCTGCAGTGTGTGTGCAGTCACTGAGAGATTCAGACTGGTTTCACACTGGGCTGTGAAAACAAGCTCAAATACTGTGTGCATACATTGTTCATCTGTAAAGAGTAAAGCTGTGATCTCAGGTAATTTGGGCTTTTGTTTTCTCCTTAGAATAACAATTGGGGTGGAGCTGTTACGAAAAATGGGCTGGAAGGAAGGGCAAGGAATTGGCCCACGAGTCAAAAGGAAGCCATGCAGGCAGAAGCCTGGTAAGTTCAGTGCCCTTCGAGCTGCTAAGCAGAGAGTAAATGTTCATGGACTGATCAGAAAGTTAATTTTAAAACCTCCTTTTCTCAGTTGAATATGATGCTCTGTTGTCTCTTACAGATCCCACAGTGAAAATATATGGATGTGCTTTGCCACCTGGACTGTCTGAGGGTTCTGAGGTACTGAGTGGGAAAAGTTGTTTGTTGTCTCATGTGAGAATGTGTGTTCAGCAATGCTTACTGTGAGGAGAGAGTTTAATGTAACTAAATTTCTTCTTTGCCTGCCTAAGCAGGTGCAGTTCATACCTGTATAACTTAGGAAATGCTAACCTAGTCTCACATTAACTAAATGTTGTAAAAGCTCAGCATACAAACTTTGTCACACCTGCTGTCCCAAACCTGTATTTGGTACAAGGATGAAGAGGATGAGTACCAGCCAGAGAACGTGACCTTTGCACCCAAAGATGTCATGCCTGTGGATCTGACTCCAAAAGAGAATGTCCATGGACTTGGCTATAAGGGCTTGGACCCCTCACAGGCTTTGTTTGGTGTGTCTGGAAGAGAACACCTGAATCTTTTCACAGGTGGTTCTGAAGAGACAGGCGATTTACTTGGTGATCTGAGACACAATAAAGGAAGAAAACTAGGGATTACAGGCCAGGTAAGGACATTTTTTAATGCATTTTATTATTAGTGCAGTGAAGTCATAATAAATTCTGCTTTTTCTTCAGAGAAAGACGCCTAGTCATTGTAGGGGTATTGTGAGAAACCTTAAGTGTGTTTTGAAAACAGGATTGTATTACAGGGGTATTGTGAGAAACCTTAAGTGTGGTTTGAAATCAGGATTGTTTTAGAACTGACTTTGAAGTTGTGGACAAATCCTTAGAGCTCTTAAGTGCCTTCACCCATCAGTGTTGTTAAAGAGAGCTGTAAAAGGTACCTGACAGAGTAGCAGGATGGAGACAAAGCTTGTGTTACTGTGATCAGAGAATGGTAATGCTCAGTATGGTTTTAGTTTGCATTTTTGGTCTGGTTTACTTTCAGTACTGTTGTACCTGTTAGCTAGAGAGGTTTTCTGCTGCTGCTGCATTTGCAGTTCTTACCTAGAACCACTGGCACTGTGTATTTCTGGGAGTTCTACTTGTTTAATTCCCATGCCAACTTTACATTTTTTTTTCCCTTTTGAAACCTCAACTTGCTCTTAGTCAGATTGCAAATGTCCCTCCCTGCCAAGGGAGTGCAGTGTGTTTGTTTCCATGTTCAGTGAGGTATGTGGGGAGTTTGCACCTCACTTGTGTTGAAGCTCAACATTTTTCCCAGTGTCTATGTATGTAACTGTACATCTCACATAGATGGGTGGATGTACATACAGGTGTGTTCTGGTATGTGACTTAACAGTATGATCATTGCACTTCTGAGCTTTCGTTGAAAATCTGTTTTAGGCCTTCGGTGTAGGAGCGTTAGAGGAGGAAGATGATGATATTTATGCACCTGACACACTGTCAAAATACGACACAGTTCTAAAGGATGAGGAACCTGGAGATGGCTTGTATGGCTGGACAGCACCAAAGCAGTATAAGTCCAAAAAAAGTAAGGCCTGTGGTTCTGTTTAAGGAGCACTGTAATTGCTGGGAAAGTAGCGCAGTGTAGTCTCAGCTTGCCAGACACTTTGATTTTCAGCCCTGGTACCTGAAACTTCCACTAATCTTCCTCCTCTGTCGGAGTGTCCAAAGACGGAAATAATTTCCAAGGACTTTCACTAATCCCAGTGAAGATTAAAACCCCAAATTATATTTCCAAGGGGACAGAATTTGCTGTTTGTGAGAGACATCGCTGAAGGGAACAGGTGATTGTGAGTCAGTGACAAACTATGACTTGATACTTGCAAGAAGATATTTTTTTGAGATACGCTTTTGTGTTTTCAATTAACTTGTGTAAATTTTGTTTTGATACCACTTTATTTTTACTGCAGCTTTTAAGTGCCTGAAACACTGGTGCTTGTGGAGTGCCTGTTGCTGTTGGCTGCACACATCTGTGGCACTGGCAGTGTTAGCTGCACACAGTAGTGAGGCTGTTTCCTCACTACTAGCCATGTTCAGCTTACAACAGTCTCTCTGGTAGTAATTTCTTAGATGTCTGGTACTAATCCAGATGCAGAACCCTGAATTTTAAAGGAAAGGCAGTGAAGACAAAGGACTGTAGTCATAGCAGAGAGTGACAAGTGGAAAATGTTCAGAAAAAAGGTACTTTTTGCCTAACATTCATGTTTTAAATATTGACCAACTTTGCGGTCCTTTTGTAGGGCCTGAAAGAGAATTCAAATATATAGGCAAAATCCTGGATGGCTTTTCCTTGGCATCAAAATCATCAGATCCAGTCAAGGTAAGCAGATAATGATACTTTTGTGCATTAAGAGTAACATCAGCAAAGTTTCCTGTGAGTTGTGTGGACTTCAGTGCTGCATCCTTAGAGATGAGTGTTCTGGTCAGCAGTACAGATTGCTGAACGAGCTAAACTACAGCACTGGAAACTGTTCAGTAGAAACCTAAAACCCTGAGGGAATTTAACCTTTGCCTCTCTTTGAACAAATGCTTTCCACACTATGCACTGTATCCATAACGTTGGAGGAACGGTTTGATTTAACTTCGAAATAAAAAAAATTACATCATTTGCTTCTAGATTTTCAGGTGTCACGTTCAGTTTTCTTTTAGAGTCACATGCCTCGTCCTTTGTCTGTTTTGCTGGCAAGTGAATTTCTGAGTCCTGTTCTCAGGTTTGCATCATTTATGCCATATGTATTTGCATAAATTGGCACAGCAAACAGGACTGTGTGGCATTGAACTCCTTCTAAGGAGGAGTATCTGTGTGGTGTATAAAACTGCACCATGCAGGAAGCACAGGGATAACTTCTGAAGTAACAGCTTGAATGAAAATATGGGGGAAAAGCACTTGGAGAGACATTAAAATACAGGAAGCACAGAAATACTCAGTAGTCCAATTAACTGATTCAATAATCTGACTTCTGTTTCAAAAAAATGAGCTACTAAGCAGTACCAAGAGCATTTTCTGAAGGCAAAGCAGTGTATTAAGACTGGTTGATTTTTCTGTGCTTGATGTGCATGTTTTCCTGTCTTCTCCTCACTGTTAGGTGCTGTCAGTGGTTTGTTCCCAGACTTTGTGTTCAGTGGGTCTGAAAGGATCAATAGCTCATAATGTGTTCCTGCTGCTCAGATGCTCGAGGAACTTTTAGGCTGAGCTTTTTCTGGGACATTTATGTTGCACGCAAAGTCATCTCTCTCTCTCAGTGGGTTTTTTTGTCCTATTGCCTCCCCACAAGGTTTATCCACCACCTCACCTGCCACGAAATTACAGACCAGTGCACTACTTTCGGCCTGTGCTAGCAGCTGGGAATGAGAGCTCCTGTTTGCAGAAGGCCCTGGAGGGATCGACTGGGAAGCTGGAGAGTGACCAGCTGGGCAGGCACGGCCTGAGCGCGGTGCAGAGGAGGGAGCGGCTGGGAGAGGCTGCCCTGAAAGGTGCTGGGGCTGTCACCACCCCTTGTCCTGTGTCACCACCTCCACGTCCTCTGCTTGTTCAGAGTGAAAATTTGGGCTGGCCTTGAACACTTGTTTTCTAATACACATACACCCAATCTCGTTAGCATTTCGTTGTTCAGGTTCCTCTGCACAGATGAACTGGTGACTTTGCTGTCTGTATTTTCATTCACTTAAACATTTGAAGAACAGAAAGCACCTGTTGGACTGTGCTTTGGGGTGTTTGCTTGGGTTTTTGTGTCTGTTTATGGGTGTAGTGGGCTGTGAGGGTTGTTTTCTGTAGAATGAAGTTTCACTGAAGTAAACACAGCACAGTGGCAGTTTGTGACTGGGGCTCACATTTGTATCTAAGGGAAGTTTATCACGTTATGTGTGCAACATGTGGGAATAGCATAAAAAATGTAATCATGGCCAGATTTCCTCCTGCCATCTCTGCCATTACGCTGTTTATTTCTGCTGGAGCACGTGTCCTCTGTGTGTGTGCCTAGGGGCTTTTCCCTCCACTGAACTGGCACAAGTAGCTGTAGTAATTTTTCGTTTCTGTTTCTCTTTTGCTGCTCTCTGTTTTAGGTCCCTGTCCCTCAGTTTTGGAGTATCTGTCGGCGAAGGACCGGGAGAGGCTCAGGGAAGTGAAGCAAGCAGCTGAGCAGCAGGTGAGGGCACAGCAGTCCCAGGGCAGCAGGCCCCAGCCAGCACCCCCAGAAGATTCCTCTCACAAGTGGCAGCTGCTCCTGGAGGGTCAGTCAGCAGGTGCTGGTTCCAGTGACTTCAAACCGTTTGCAAAAAATCCAGAAAAACAAGCAAGATATGAAAATTTTGTGAAAAGTCTGAAACAAGGAGAAAAAGGTAAAATATTTCTGGATTAATTTTTTCTTGATTTCCCCCCCCCCCCTTTTTTGTCCTGATGTGTTTTGTGTTCACTGTGAGTTCTCTTCCTGAATTCCACAGTGTTTCTCCCTAGGCTTCTTTTCAGGGCCAATGATGAAAGAAATGTTTACTGATACTTAGTCATGCTGATTTCAGGAGAACTGCTCAGGAATTTATTTGTCAGCAAGACTTAACTTTAGGCATTACATTTCAGAAGTGAAGTTCTGCTTAATTTCCTGCACTTCCCTTGTTCCCTTTGCCAAGGTTGACTTCAGCTTTGGTCAGTGCCATAAACTGTGCACCGAACAAGCATTTTCATTTGGTTTGTTTTCCTTTGAGGAGTAAAACTGGCAGATCCTGGAAAGGCAGAAAGGTCACAGAAAGGCAGATTGGGTCACAGCAGAATCAGAAGAAAGTCTGTACCCCTGGGGAGATAAGGACCCTGAAGTGAATGAAGTGTTTCACATGTGTCAGAGCTTGTGTTGTGTGTCCTCTGGGTACTTAAACAGCCACTGCTGCTAGTTGTTCTCAGAACATTGGTAGAATGGTTGCATACATGCAGAGCTCTGTCTCAAAGCCAAAACATCCAACCCTCTCCATCGTCTCTTTTCCTGCTGTTTCAGTCTCCTTCTGTTCTGTTTGGGGTTTTGCTAGTCAGGGACACTGTGGTGTATCTCAGATTGCAGCAGGTACTGCTGATGCCTTGGGGGGAGTTCTCCAGTGCTGTGATTTTCCTGTAAGGCATAAAGAGCTGGTCTGGGGATGTCATCATCAGTCCATGGATCTGCATTGCCTTACAGTAAAATTCAGAAAAAGGGTTGATTTGGTTTTCGAATTTTGGAGTACAAAGGCTATTGGGGAAGAAGAAAATGGGCACCAGCAAAATTTCACAGAGGAAAGCACACAGTGACAGGTAGAAAACCTGCTTTGTGGTTGTAGTTGTGGTTGGTTGTTTATTTTTTAAATAATCCTTTTCATAGCATCAAAAGACATTTCCTAATCAGTAGCCTCTTCTGGTTGCCACTTGGAACAGACTACTTGAACTGTGAACACAGCTCCTCTGTTCAGGACTGGGGTTCTCCCTGTCTAAAATCCTCAGTTGTGACTGTTGGTGCCTCCTGAGTCATAGAGATGAAAATGCAGGAACACTTAAATCCCTGGAATGGTCAAAGTTCTGTTTTGCTCTTCCTCCTGGGGGGAAAAAGTAAACAGTAAAAGTAAACAGGGTGTATATGGTTTATAGGAACCTGTGTCCAGTCTTGTATTTATCCGTGGGCACTTTATGTTACAGAAAGCCCCTTATAGTCACCAAAGCCTAATCAGCTTACTCCTTGGTTAGCTCTTGTTCTGGGTTTTAGGTGTTTGGTAGAGCTTTGGATTATGCCTTTTGGTTTAAACACCTGTTCAATCATTAGGTATGCTGAGCATCCCTCAGGGGCAGTGAGTAAGTAGTCAGGTTTGCAAGTGAAATTACTTAAAATGCCTAGTTTGCATTTGTCATTCTTGCTGTGTTGAGGAACCACCTCCAGTTACCGAGGCTTGACAGAGCTGAGGTCAAGCTGGACGCTCATTGCACACAAGGGTGTTTGGGTTTGCAAAGCTTTGGCCCCGAGTCTCTGCTGACGGTGTCTCTGACGCGGCAGCGGAGGCGCTGGAGCGGTTTCTGGACCCCAGCATGCCGGCGTGGGAGCGCGGGCGGGAGCGGGAGGAGTTCTGCCGCGCCGCCGTGTTCTACCGCTCGTCCAGCGCCGCGCTCGCCGCCAGGTTCACCCGCGCCGCCTACGAGGACGACGTCGACAAGGTCGAAGTCCCTCGAGACCAAGAGGTATGTGCTGTTTGCACACGGGAGCTGCAATTGCTGCCTTGCCCCTGTCTTTCATTCCTTTCCAACTCTTCTGTAGATCGGACACTGTTCTGTTGCCCTTCTGTTTATAGAATCCTAAAATCACCCTGGTTGGAAGAGACCTCAAAGATCATCAAGTCCAACCCTACCATTGTTTGTAGACCATGGCACTAAGGCCACATCCAGTCTCAGCTTGAAAACCTCCAGGGACGGTGAATCCACCACCTCCCTGGGCAGCACATTCCAATGCCTGAA